AACAAAACTATAATACTCTCTTTAGCAACTTTGTTGAGAGAGTATAAAAATACGTGTTTTAAACCTTAACTTAGCACTTGGACGAAGGATTTTTCTGGACTGGATTTTGGCAGACATTTTTACAAAAAATTAAAAATTTCGTAATTTTTTTTTTTTCAAATAGTTGTAATTGAAACAAATTATTTCATCCAAGTCTTTTAGAATTGTATCTCAAACAACTGTGTAAAATTTCATGAAGGTCGGTTTGAGTAGTTCTCGCGAAATCTTGCCAACCGACTTCGAAAACTCAGTTTCGAGAGCTAGCCTCAAGCGCTCAAGTTCTCATGGCTGTATCTCCGAAACTGTTACTCGGATCAATTGAAAAGTTTTACAAAATATTCTAGAGGTTTTGTAGAATTGAATAAGATAATAAAAAATATAAATTTTCTGAAACCCCTAAACCCTTAAAAGAAATAATTAATAATTCATACAATAATATAATATTTACGTTGGCCTTTAATAGAAAGAACAAATAAAGAATCTTAAACAAAGGTGGTCATCTGAATATTATCATGAAAATACAAAACGTTTGGTTTAAAAGTAAATTTAGTAATTACTTTGCTCAAATTTATTCTGAATCACTGCACGAAGCCGTTTTGGCAAGCTTCGAACCTAATTTTTTAACATTTCGAAAATTTGCGCATTGACGCTTTACCTCTAAGAAAAACTATTTCAAATTTGCACCACTACTTTTTGGTATTTTGGAGTCCAAAATTAGTCACCAATGCTCAATTGGATTTAAATCCAGTGACTGAGCCGGCCAGTTTATTTTTCCGATTAGGATTTCATCAAAAAAGCGATTAGCCAGGTGAGAGGTGTGTTTGGTGTCATTATCTCGTTYAAAGTTAAACTATCCCAAATTAATTTCTTCCGCATTCATTTTCAAATTTTCGCTAAGAATGTCAACATGTGAAGCACCCGTCATTAGTCCAACGATTTTAACTAAACCACACACACCGAATTTCGAGAAACAGTCCCAAACCATGAGAGAATCTCCGCCATGCTTCACCGCTGATTGTATGCACTATAGTTTTAAGCGATAAGATGGCTTACACACACTCGCTTACAATGTTTTGAACTCCTCAGCTCGAATTTGGATTCCTCGAACCAAATTACTATATTCCAAAATAGGGTTGGCTAATTAAGATATGATTTTTCAAACTCTAGTCTTTTTGCCATTAGCAATGGAAATCATAGGTTATTTTTTTGTTTGCAACTTATTTTTTTAAATGTTTCCTTTGCTTTATACTTTGTACAACCAATACATAACTTTTGATCAACTCCCTCGATGAAATCTCAAAACTCTGCAAAATTGTAGCAACTTTCCTTTTTTTGGGGCTTTGGCTTTCCTCTGCATTGAGTCTTGTTGCATTTATTCATTTTCTTGAAGTTTTTAAAGATCTTACTTGGAATATTTTTCAGATATTTTTTGATACGAACTTCCCATCTTCCATATTTAAGTTCCGAATTTTTCAGTTTTCGCGCAATTTTTCACTAACAGACCAAAAAAATATTCACCATAGCAAAAATTCACTTAATAAATGCGAATTTATTGAATCTGTAGTAAAATTCAGTTTTGAAAAAAAAATTAACCAAAACTATTATAAAATTATACTTTCATATAAGGTACACTCATAGGATCCTCAGCTAATCACTGTCGGTCGACTAAATATTTTTTGCTTATATATAATAAAATCAAAGTTTACTCCAACTGTTTATTTACATAACGGTGTATCTTCATGATATACTTTAAAAATTTATTCTTAAGCGAATATGTTGGATATTGCATTGTTTCTTCGAACGATAACCCATGGTGAAGCTTTCCGTACTAGCGCTTGAATCCGATTGTTCCATTTATATGGCAGCTGTGTGCTATAGTAACCCGATATCGCGGGTCCCGACAAATTAGCAGACGCTTGGGGAGAAAAGAACGTCTTTCAGAACGATATCTCAAAAAGTGACGCACTGTTCGCCTGTATACAGACAGACGTTCGGCCAGAACTCAAAAAGCTGATAATTTATAAAAATATTTTATATGTATTTTCAAAGTTTACGAAACAGTACTTGAAAATATCCAGTATCAGAGAGTTAGCAGCGGTTCACAATATTGAGCCGATTCAAGGCATTTTGGTTAAAGTTTTGGGTATGAAGCGTGTCAATGCCAAACTTGTACCAAAAGACCTGAATGATAAGGACTGACTTTTTGGCCAAACTGCATTATCCGCGCCATGAGTCTATTGTCAAAATCGAGTATTGAGTTTTGTGTCAAAATCGCCAACTAAATGACATATGTAGAACAAACTTCACACAAACATGGAAATTGACATTTTATTTATTTAGAGTGAAGTACAATCGATACAATTAAGTTCTGAATATAACATCATTGAAATGACCTCCATGACTTCTTTTGCAGGAACGAATTCGATGAGCCCAATTTTCGGGTAGTCTTTCCACTAAATGAAGTCGAATGTCATGAATAGCACGTTCAATTTTGACTTCTAAAAATAGTGTGGTTCATTGTCAAAGACCAACGATTTCAAAAATCCACAAAAGGTAGTCTATTGGTGTTAAATCACAAATTTTTGGAGACCATTCTTTCTTGAAATAATCGACACTCCAAACTTTTCTTGCAATAATTTGGTTGTTTCATGTGCTGTGTTCCGTCTTATTGAAAGCAGATGTTGTCAAGATCAATTTTTTCAAAATGCGCCATAAAAAGTTAGTTAGCTTCGATCTTTAGTATACCGGTCTCCATAAACAGTAATGGTGTCGGCAGTTTAATTTCGAAAGAAGTACGGACCGTTAATTCCACCAGTCCAACTGTCAATTGCGGTAAATATAATGGTTGTTCATGAATAATGTGTGGGTGTTTTCTTCGCAACAGTACCGACTGTTTTGTTTATCTACCGCACCACCCATTTTCAAGTTGTTGCAAGACAAAAAAACATATCCACGATGTTTACGGTGGTCCAGTTCTTGAGTGAGAACAATTTTATGAGGTTGCAAGCACAAATCCTTTCTCGAAATCGGCCCCGGTTGTGGTTTGAGACAAACCCAATTCTTGAGAACGTCATGGAAACAGCCATATTTTCATTATTTCGAGTCTTATTGACACTTGAACACTATGTAAAGAAAATGTACGCTCAACATGGACGATTTTTACGACAGTAATAATCAAGCAATAAGGGATTCTTCATTTACATCCGAGCCTAGTTGATGGTATTGCCTCTAGGTTGACAGGGGCGTAGGTGGGGTACCGCAAAAAGGTGAGGTTGACATTTGGGAGGGAGTCTAGTACTTTTTACAGATGGGGCAGCCGAGTCTTTGCCAACAAATTCACAGTCGAGAGCAAACAAAAAGATTTGAATAGTGAGTGTGTCGCTTTATATGTATAGTATGTTGAATGTTTCTCCACAACTTTAGCACCATTGAAGACTGTAGCAGATGTCAACTCCCATCTGTCCAGACTTTTTCTTGTCAAAAAAATGTGTGGAAATATTATTTTGACTTATTACACTCAGACTTAGCGTTTCCTAACCTGAAATTTAAACGTATATTCTTTCTGTAATATAACACGTCAGACTAACTCTACTAACTGTCAAAAAGAATCGATCAATATTTAGATATTATTTAAAGAAATCATTTATACATACATATAACTTTCTCATACGAACCAATTGAAAGTTATTCATTAAAATTAATTTTACGAAGACTTCAAAATGTTTACTACACGGAACATACTTTTAGTATAGCTAACCTAATGTTAATGATTTCTAATTTTTAGAATTCACGGGGACCGTTACACGGCACGAGTGAATCGTACCCAACTGGTGGAGTCCAGCACCAGTCGGGAGGGTTCATTCGCACATCCACGGACAGCGATGGTGACTGTGGCGTTTACATCACCGATCGGCATAATCATCACACCGCCACCGATATACCACCATCGCCGCCACCCTCACTTGTCGGCACTTCGTGTGAACTGCCGACAACGGTTGCTTGCTCTCAACCCGCCCCACCATCATTGCTCACCGAGTATCAACAGTCGACTGGTTCGCTCTTCTCAGTCGTGTCGGCGCCACCGGTACCGCTCGCAGAACTTGACGTCAAACAAGTGGATGCGCTTAATAGCGGTGGATTCCACAAGGTCATGGGGATCGCTGGAGGTGTTGGTCTGCAAGCTGGTGTCGGCATGGGTTTATCAACGATGGGTGGTAGCGCACAAAATGCGTACTCAACCACATCAATGGATGCAACAGCTACCGCGGCAGTTATGGCTGCAGGCGCCACAATCAATTGCCCGATGGACGGTACGGCTACGATTGCTGGCACCACCACACATGGCATACAACGTCGTCCGGCAACGTTGCCCATTAACATGCCATATTGTCCGGCACCGGTTAGCCGCACTTTGCACTCGAGCCTCTTGGAGCATCAAATTGCCGAAATTGAAGAAGAGGATAATGAAAATCTGTTGACTGTCTCCAGTATTACAGCGCGTCCATTAATCGCCAAATCGCGTGAGATACGTTCGAATCGACAGTTACAGCTGATCGAACAATCCGCGAAACGTGGAGCTAAACAAACGCGACGCGCTAATCTGTCCGCACATGCCGCCGACGGCAGGTCCGCCGATACGGATCAGTGTGTAGCGGGCAAGCGTACAACCTCTGCTTCATCACGTTCCTCAGTTAATACTGATCCACCAGATGGTGGTTATGGTTGGCTAATTGTTTTTGGCGCATTTTCAGTGCAATTTTGGGTTGCAGGCTTGGTTAAGTCATATGGCGTGCTCTATGTGGAAATAATGGAAACATTTCCCAGTTCAACGGCAACCGTTGCTTCTTGGATACCCGCCATACTATCAGCACTATGCTTAGTTTTAGCGCCAGTCTCTAGTGCACTATGTCAGCGATTTTCTTGCCGTTCGGTGGTTTTCGTTGGCGGTATATTTTGTGCGTTGGGTCTTACGCTTAGCTACTTTGCGACTAGTCTGTTACATTTGCTCATCACCTTTGGAGTTTTGACGGGTAAAATTACTGCACGTATTTGTTTTAATCCTCTTATTAATAACTCATTCACATAGGTATCGGTGGCGGACTGTCTACAACTCCCGGGATCGTAATTGTGTCACAGTATTTTGACAAGCATCGTGCGCTAGCAAATGGCATCTGTGTTTCGGGCACCGCCGCTGGTAGTTTTATATTACCGGTGCTTATAAAACATCTCGCAGAGAAATTCGGTTTTCATGGAACGATTTTAATTTTGGGCGGTTGCATGTTTCATGTTTGCATCTCAGCCACACTTTACAGACCTATAGAGGATTACAATAATGAAAGTGGCAAGTTAAACGAGGAGGAGGAAGAATCGGCGAAACCGTTGAATGATATCAACCCCAGTACAACGGGTATGCTTACTGGCTCCACATACTTGGACACATGTGATGCTACGCTCAACAATAAATTTATCGAACATCTGTTTCTTGAGGAATCAAAAAATCGACTTAATGATCTATACTCGGCCAAGCAAAGCGGTAAGTATTGTCTTAAATAGGGTTTAGAACTTTCTAACTAATGTTACTGCCTTAGCAAATGAGAAGCAAATTGCTGTGGGCCACGAAACTGATGATGATGAAGTAAAGGATGTTATTGGTGAGACCACATTCATCAAGCCAATGAAGAAGGTGCGCAGTTCGGGTATTATGCATTCTGTGGAAGATCTCAGCACCGACTCTACTTGGGTCTATCGTAAGAATTCCGGTACGGATTCAAATCGCGGTAGTCGACGACGTCGAAACGTGTTTGCGAATGACGAAATCATTTCGAAAATACAAGCACATCTGGAGAAACCACTTTCTCCACCGGCTGTGGTGACACGTGGCCTCAGCAAAAGCATGGAAATACCCACACCAGTTAGTAATTTTACTGATCTGAACAAACGTGGTGAGCTGCATGATCTCAGTGGTGCTATAGTAGCTCAACCACCAATAGATGCTGGTGTCAGCGAAGACGATGACGATGATGATGACGATGTACCACGCACCTGCTGTGGGCGCATCGAAATGTACTTGGACATTAGTTTATTGAAAGATACCACATTCATATTGATGTGCTTGTCTGTGACATTGATGTCGGTCGGTTGTCCTTATATGCTTTATTATCTTCCGGCACATGTCATTTCAATTGGTGAGTTAAATCAAAGCTAATTTTTGACAGTAAATTTTGTTGGTTTCGACCTGATTAAAATTATTGCCATAAACTACATTGCTCTTTCTATTTTTGTGTTAAGGATTGTTGATATATAAAATTGAGAATGATAATGTAGTTTTGAACTATCTCCGAGCCGTTGATGAAGTTGTATGAAATATTTTCGAAATCAGAAAAATATTTTTGAATGATTCCAAAAAGATTTGGCTTTAATAATACGAGTCTTATATAAAATTAGTATATACAACTGTTTTTGTTGTTAGATCGAGAGATCGAGGAGCTGATGAAATAAATCATCCAACCTTGCTTGTTTCAGCCTAGAAAAAATTTGTCATAATACCTAAAATGTTAATACTTCGAAGAGGCTGCTAGAAAAATATTCATATAAGGTTGTCAAAAAAGTCTTGCGGTATTTTCGCTACTTGGCGCTGAGAGCGCGTAGTTCTAGGTTTATTCGTCGCATCAGGTCATGCTATACCTTTTTGGAAAGCTCATTTCATGCGCTAACACGTGTTTGATTGATTGTCGTTTCTTTTAAGTCGTTCGTGAGTTATAGCGTCGCAAACATGGAGCAAAATAAAGAGAAAATACGGCATGTTTTACAGTACTACTACGATAAAGCCACTAATAAAATTTGTGCAGTTTATGGACCCGATACAGTTTGCACTTCCACCGCACAACGATGGTTTCAACGTTTTTGTTCTGGTGTAGAGGTGGTCGAAGATGCGCCACGCTCCGGAAGGCCTGTCGTCGAAAATTGAGATAAAATCGCTGAATTGGTCGCAAGAGACCGACATAGTAGCAGCTGTAACATCGGTCAAGAGCTGGGCATGAGTCATCAAAAAATTTTTATGAACAATTGAAAATTCAATAAAAATACCGCAAGAATTTTTTGACAACCTAATATAATATTATAATACGATCATGTTGATTATTCCGGTCACCTTAAGAAAACCTATAAGAAGTCGGAATTTGCAAACTAAAATATAGAGAATTCGCTTGGCAAGCGAAATGTGAACAATCTGGGTTTACCGAATTCCTTTGCTTTTGGTCTCTATGCGTTAGTAAATACCGACCAAATCATTGGCTCAAAAAGTTTTGGCCTCAAGAGGAGCTAAAAGCTGGCTGTAAGAACGTCGTACAGGAAGCTTTATTGCCTCTTCCTGAAGTTCTTCTACCACCGTTTCACATAAAGCCGAGATTGATGCTGCCATTTGTAAAGTCACTTCCAAGAGATAGAAGTTGCTTTTGATACTTTGTATCAAGGTTTCCAGGTTTCTCCGAGGCAAAGTTGAAAGAAGATGTTGAGAGATGATCAGATATTCGAGGTCTTATGGCAGATTCAATGTTCAGGTTCAGCACAATGTTTAATAATTTTCTTCTTTCCCACCTGGGACAATCAAAATATTAAGGAGATGGAAAAAAATACCAGGCAAGATGAAGTGTGTCAATGTTGGACACTTCAGAGAGAGCTTCCTTATGCTTCCTACAAGCGAAAATGTAACAAAAAGAGTCCCACTGGGAAAAAGAAATGTATTTAGTGATGTTCTGGGGCAAATTGAAAACCATTTTCGGATTCAGCACACTCAAAAATTTAGGCAATCAAAAAAGCTCAGTTTTTTTGGCAGACTTGTCTAATTGGATTGGATTGGAGACTGAAGAAAACAACATTTTATCGAATACTTTACGCATTCTTTTCATTATTATTCGTTTAGGCAACAACAAAAGTCAGGCCGGTTATCTAGTCGCCGTGAGTGCGGTATTGGATTTATGTGGACGCTTGGGACTTGGCTGGTTGTCCGATTTGCAACTTTTCGATCGCAAAAAAACCTACATTTTCTGGTAAGCAAACACTTTTTAAATAAACATATAAATGGATTCCTAAAAGTAAACACCTCCCTTTCAGTATACTGGGCGCCGGCATAGCCGTACTTACAATACCGTCTGAGGACACGCTTTATTTGATTGGACTCTCCGCTGCTGTTTACGGCTTCTGTTTGGGCAGTTGGTACGTGTTAATGCCGGTTTTGTTGGCTGATATCTTCGGCACGGATCGTATTAGTTCCAGCTATGGTTTGGTACGCATGTTTCAGAGCATTGGCGCAATTTCGGTGCCACCGTTAGCTGGCTTTTTACGCGATCTTTCTGGTAGCTACGAGATATGTTTCTACTGTATGGGCGCTTGCATGGTTTTGGGCAGCATACCGTTACTGGTTTCGGCGCTGCTTGAAAGTCGCGAACGTGATCCCTTCGAACAACCCGATGAAAGTGATGAGAACTCAACAGTATCTTAAGCGGTTTTGGTGGATATTTTTTCTTGACAGCAATTTTCTTGACTGTTTTATGATTTGTGTAGCACATGGAGTTTAAAAAGTGATGAATGTGTCTCCCCGACCTTATGATATTCACTAGTAGTTATTGAACACTGTTTTGATGTTGATTTAGATTCAAACCAATGTGTTTTGAAATTCCTATTAGAATGTGTAGCACATAATTTACTCAGACAAGTAGTATATCTATCAATAGTAATTACATATTTACACACATTATGTATTCCAATATATTAGTATATACTAAGTTGTTGTGCTAGTAGATCATAGATTTCTGAAACCTTCTCGAACTTTGTCGAAGTTTGCTAACAGAGATCATTTGCATATTATCGTAGATTTTAGGATATCTGTTACTGACTCAACTGAAGTAAAACGAATTTATTTTGGAAAAATAAACCTTAAGGCAGTTCACTCAGAATCGTAAATAACCATAACCATAAACTACTTCTGTTCGATAACTGCTTTTTCTTTTTGCTTTCAAGGTATAAAAATTCATACTAAAATAAAAAAAATTCAAATTAACACATTACCTGTTTCTGAGTACAGCGAGAATGTTTTAAAATTCAAAAACATAGGCGCAATATGAAGAAGCATATTTCTAAGCACGAGTAGCAAAGAGAGTGGAGTGTTTGGCGCCTCACAGTTTCCACTGTCGTTAAATATATTTGGAAATATTTGGGTTGAGTTGTGCATTCTTTTGTAACTCGCCTATAAAAACAAGTCTAAAATGATTTTATATATATTATATTTGTATTCTATTCGGTCGTTCACTAAGTAATTTCGTTATTTCATTTTAAATATTTCTTTAATATAATATTATCTTTTCATTAAATACCTTTTGCCATCTTTCGGACAAGAAACTTAAAAATTTGTTGCAAAAAAAAAAATGTCCAAATCGTTTTTGTCGTCCGGATTTGAAGCGAATCTTTTTCAATCCAAACAAGAAAAAACGTTAACTTCGGTTGCACCGAAGCCAAATACCCTTCACAGGTGCATTTATGTTAGTAACTATATGTTCAGTTTGTATGGAAGCTATATGCTATAGTTAACCGATYDGAACAATTTCTTCGGAGATTACATTGTTGCCTTAGAAAATTATCTATACCAAATTTCGTGAATATATCTTGTTAAACGKGAAAGTTTTCCATACAAGAACTTGTTTCCGATCGTTCAGTTTATATGACAGCTATATGCTATAGTCGTCCGATATCGGCAGTTCCGACAAATGAGTAGCTTCTTGAAGAGAAAATGGTGTTCGCAAAATTTCAAAACGATATCTTAAAAACTGAGGGACTAGTTCGTATATATACAGACAGACGGATAGACAGACAGACGGCCATGGCTAAATCGAATCAGCTCAACATACTGATCATTTATATATATACCTTATAGGGCCTCCGATGCTTTCTTCTGGGTGTTACAAACTTCGTGACAAAATTAATATACCCTGTTCAGGGTATAAAAATTTTACACCGGACCGGAACAAGTATTATAATATAATATACTAATATCGAAGAAAAGTTGAGTCGGATAGCACATTTCATTCAAGCTGCTGCTTTTACCAGGTCAACACATTTGTATGAGGTCTCGCATTATTTATTTATTTAGTTACTAAAATCTATGAAAATTAATTCTTGCAGACTATTCGAAAATTATGATTTAATTATATAAAATAGAATACTATTTATTTAGAGTTATATGTAAACAAAAAAAAGTACAATTAAACAAATAGATAACTTAACTAGAAATGGAATTAAGTGTGTTCATAAAGGAAGCTCTAGAGTGAGAGAAATCAAGTAGAGCTTTCTCAAAAATCGAGTTAAACTCACGCAAAGCACGATTGAGAGCGGCATAATCCGCAAACTTAGTTTTCTCCTTTTTACAATATAATGGGGAAATAGATCTGAGACAACGCTGTTTGTATATTGAAATTAATTTTTATTAACAGATAGGGTCAGTCAATACCTCCATTAATCCCATTCAAAACAAATGAAAGGCACAGAACGGATCATCGATTTCAAGTGATTTAAAATGCAATAGACATAAACGAGATGTATACGACGGTATGGGGTCAAGAAACTTTAAGGAGCGGAAGGCAAATTTAGGAAAGACAAATTTAAGAAAGAAAACTTTTTTGAACGCGTTCAATCCAATCAATTTACGATAGACCATACTATCATCTCCAAGATAAAACGAACAAAATATGTATACAATATTTTTAACGTAAAAGAGTCGGAAAATTGAAAACATTCCGACGGACAAAGCCAAGCACAGAAAATGATCCAGAAGTGATGAATTTGATGTGATTATTGAAAGAAAAACATATACATATTTTCTAAAAACTAACAATATCACATTGAAGTTTAATTAGATCTTCTGAGTTTTGATTATTGCGAAAATTTGTAAGTCATCTGTATATAGCAAAAATTTAGGAGAAAAGAAACAACAAGAAATTTCGTTGATAAACAACACAAAGAGGGGAGGATCTAAATCGCTTCCTTGTAGCACTCCCGAAGACAACATCCCGTTGACAATAACAACACAACGCCAATGGGGGGAATAAAACTAAGAGTAAAGCTTTGTTCATAATTTTAAAATTCTTGATTTATGTCACCCTTGTGCCAACGTTTTTTCCAATGCTCGAAGCACTTGTTAAATTCAATCTCCATGGAGCCGTCGTTTGAGTTTGGTTAATAACCAGAAGCCAGACAGACTAAATCAGTTGAATACGGTGGTTGGGGCACGATATTGGTTGCAATTTGGCGAAGAACCCGCGAAGAATGAATGCATTATAGTGATGTAAAAACCAATAGGTGTCAGCACATAATTTCGGCCTCTTTTACGAATTGTTTCGCACTAACGAGGCATTACTCTCAAATACTATTCATTGTTGACAGTTTGGCCGATTGCAAGGAATTCGGAGTGTACCGCAACTCAATAATTGAAGAAAACTGTCCACATAACTTTGATTTGTGACCTGCTTTGATGTTTTTTTTTCAGCTTCGGTTCAACTTTGCCACGATATTCGGCCTATTGATCGTCTTTTTCCGGGATGTAAGCATAAATCCAAGACTCATCATCAGTAATAATCGTTTCATGATATCCTAGTAGTGGAAAACCATTGTTTCACAGACGTTAACGTAACGCTGTTTTTATACTCTCGCAACAAAGTTGCTAAAGAGAGTATTATAGTTTTGTTCACATAACCGGTGTTTGTAAGTCCTAAAACTAAAAGAGTTAGATATAGGGTTATATATACCAAAGTGATCAGTTTGACGAGTAGAGTTGAAATCCGGATGCCTGTCTGTCCGTCCGTCCGTGCAAGCTGTAACTTGAGTAAAAATAGAGATATCATGATGAAACTTGGTACACGTATTTCTCCATAAGAAGGTTAAGTTCGAAGATGGGCAAAATCGGCGCACTGCCACGCCCACAAATTGGCGGAAAACGAAAACATATAAAGTGTCATAACTAAGCCATAAATAAAGATATTAAAATGGAATTTGGCACAAAGGATCGCATTAGGGAGAGGCATATTCGTACGTAATTTTATTGGAAAAGTGGGCGTGGCCCCGCCCCCTACTACTATAGCTATGTCAACCAAACTGTATAGAGTCGTTTCTTTTAGGCACTTCCATAAACAGTTCAAAAATGGAAGAAATCAGGTAATAACCACGCCCACCTCCCATACAAAGGTTATGTTGAAAATCACTAAAAGTGCGTTAGCCGACGAACAAAAAACGTCAGAAACACTAAATTTTACGGAAGAAATGTCAGAAGGAAGCTGCATCCAGGCTTTTTTTAGAAATTGAAAATGGGCGTGGCGTCGCCCACTTATGGACCAAAAACCATATCTCAGGAAGTACTCAACCGATTTCAATGAAATTCGGTATATAATATTTTCTTAACACCCTGATGACATGTRYCAAATATGGGWGAAATCGGTTCACAACCACGCCTGAAATCTCGATTATCACTTTATCATGCGAGAGTCTAAAATGTTCGGTGACACCCGAACTTAGCTCTTCCTTACTTGTTCAAAAAAATTTTTTATTTTGGAACCAATCGTGCTTTCACTTTCTTTTAGGGTCAAATGATAATTTAAAATGATTTTCACCGATCCTTCCGATATTCCAACGACGCCAGTAAGATCTTTGATTGTTAATAGTCAATTCTCAAGCACCAATTCCTTCATTGTATTAATCATCAGTTGATATTGATGACCGTCTTAGTTGTAGTTTATCGTCAACGCGTTCTTAACAATAAAAAACACTTGCTCGCCAGTCATACCAACCTTGAAAAAAAATATTTCGACGAATGAGTTTTCGCGCGAAATTTAAATAAAAATGTCTTACGCTTTTTTTCCCATAGCAGTAATGCACAATTAGATTTTTAAAGAAGAAATTAGATATTTTTCAAGCTACACGCGCTCTCTGCTGCTGTGGTGATTCTGGTCTTTTCCGTGAATGAAAACTAATGAAAGTTCACTAGCAGCAAAAAAAAAAAATCCAAAATTTAATTGAAAAAAAGTTGGATTTTACTCAAACTTTTTGCGTTTAAAGATAAACTGATGGGGCAGAATAAACCGAGCGACTAAATGAATTACGCTGTAACTCAAAAACTATTTCAGATTTTGTTTCAAATTTTAATAGAATATTTTTTTAAGTATTACGTGTTAGAATGCGAAAAAAAAATTTTTTTTTTTGTATGAATTTTACACTAACTGTGCCGATACAGCATTGATAGAGTATGAAGCTCTTTAAGTTGGTGAATAAAAGCTTGTGTTGTAGGGAAAAGCATTTTCAATATTCTTCACAAACATTTATTTATAAATTTATTTTAACTGAATGTATTTCAATACAAAAAAATGAACCTGAAAGAAAAATATTAAATTAAAAATATTGAAAATTGTACTGCAAGGATACTTTCTCCACACTTCTACCAACACATCACAGATAAAAATCGGCTTTAAATAATTATTTGTTTCATTAATATAAAAAATTTAAAAATATGTCATATTTCTTACTACATTCACACATTAATGTAGTTCTGGAATATTGAAGAGTCGATATATACAATTTTAAGAAACATATATATTTTTTGGAACACATACCATATATACTATATGAACATTTTTTTAATCATAAAAATAAATACATTTGATTTTTTATAATTACATATTGATTTTAATGCATAAACAATTGTATAGTCAAATGCATGTAAAGAATGCAAATCGGGTTTTCAAAACCCGATAATGCATAAAGAATAGTCAAACACCATTCTCATATTTAGAATTAGAATATACTATAATATTATATGTAATTGCCATGGTCGGTCGTGGCAAATTATGTGTATTACTAACCCAAATGCTTTGAAAGCAAAAATGCTGTAAAACTGTGAGGCATAAATTGTAATTTGAATTACTAAAAATACCAAAAATAATTTATTAAAAAAATAGAAAAATAAAAAAAAAAA